GAGGTGCTTAACTCTATATAACCTAACAAAAGTAAGGGTTGTACCTTTTTTTTTTGGTGGAGTGGGCCTTGACTATGTGGAATGCCACAAAAATTACAGTGAGGCATTTACTTTTATTTTAAGCTAAGGCAATATTGAAAGGTATTTGCTTGTTTGAGGAACCTGCATGATAAGAGGGCAGTTATTCTATGTCTGTGGAGGAAAACCCTTACCATCTTAATCCATCCACTTGAACACCTTTATTGTTTCCTCACTAGATAAATGTCTGGTATGGAACAATTAGCTGAATGGAAATTTTGGGCTATCTATAAGTCTGAAAGATTACACATCAGAATTTTTCTGTTACTGTATAACACAAGATTAAAATTTAGGCCAACAAATGGAAGGAGATGCAGATGAATCTATCCAGCAAATTGTGCATCTCTATTTTTCATGCTTCCATGGTAGTCAAAACCTAGTCCTGTAATTCTGAAAGCCTTTGAGTTCTTTTGACTTCCAGTCAGGGAGGTGACTTGCAGCAGACTGATTTATATTGTTATCAGACTCTATATGTAGAATAATACCAGTCCAGGTTACAGATGTAACCAAGAATAACTTGTATCTATCCCCAGTTCAGCACTACAGTTCTTGTAAGCATGTGTTAAATCTTGCATGCATGGAGTAGTGTAGTGCATTTTACCCTCAGGGTATATCTGCTCTTCATCAGAGAGTAGTTGTGCGGGAAACAGCTTTAAATTAGCAGCATGCTACTGATAATAGTTTAGCTATGGCAAAAAAAAAGCTCAGTGTGCTCGCAGAGCCAACCCTTACCTTGAGGACTGAACTGAGCTCTAGGCCACAAGACTAGTACGAGTATCAGAATTGGCACAGACACATTCTAAAGCAGAGGTCAGACTATCCCCATGCACATCTGGAATTCATCTGGATGGCGAGGAGGGCAAGGAGGAAGAGAAGGAAGGTGAATGGCCACAACAGGGTTGTGGAGGAGGCAAAGTGGGGAGAGGAGAGAAGATGATAGTATGCCAAGCAGGGAAGGAGTGGCACCATTACTGAAAAGCAGCAAGGAATGAATGGCAGTTTCCCCAAATCCTGCAAGAAGCTGAATGCTGAAGTACCTAAAAACCAGCCTGTAGTCACTGTATGGGGGGTTGGGGAGGGTAGAGAGGGATGTAACTGTTTCCCTTTCCCCTGGAGGAAAGGTGAGATGAAATAGTATTTAGTGGTGGAATGAATGTACATGTTATACAATACCTCCCAGTTCACATTGGATTTATATGCAATGATGGGCCTCATGTTATCTCCCTTTCTATACCATACCAGTGACAAATCAAGCCGTTACCTTGATAAAGTGGTGGCTGGTTCCTCCACACTTACTTTTCTCACAATCATCCATCTTTCATAGTCTAGTCTGTGAAAAGAGTGGCTGCAACTCTAGATAGCTACTCTATCTCAGTTAAGACTTCTTTGTCCATCAATAGTTCCAGCTGCAAGTCCTCTGATCAGTCACACTTGAGCTGTTGAGTATTTTGGCAGACTTGGAGTTCTGGCCATTTGCTTTGT